CACCTGTGCCCACCAGTGCCACCCACCTGTGCCCACCCACCAGTGCCACCCACCAGTGCAGTTCAGCAGTGCTGCCAGTCAGTGCCACCAGTCAGTGCCCAGTGGTTGTGCCAGTCAGTGCCCAGCAGTGATGCCAGTCAGTGCCGTCTATCAGTACCCATCGTCAGTGTCACCTATCAGTGCCGCCTTATCAGTTCTGCATATTAGTGCCGCCTATCCGTGACACCTCCTTAGTGCTGTCTATCAGTGCCGCCTATCCGTGCCACCTCATTAGTACTGCCTATCAGTGCCCTTTAGTGCTGCCTATCAGTGCCCATCAGTGCCACCTATCAGTGCCCATCAGTGCGGCCTCATCAACGCACATCAGTGAAGGAGAAAAATTACCTGTTTGAAAAATTTTATAATAGAAACAAAGAAACATTTTTTTTTTCAAATTTTTTGCACTTTTTTTTATTTATAGCGCAAAAAGTAAAGCGCCCAGTGGCGATTAAATACCACCAAAAGAAAGCTCTATTTCTGAGAAAAAAATGATCAAAATTTCATATGGGTACAATGTTGCATGACCGCGCAATTGTCAATCAAAGTGCGGCAGCGCTGAAAGCTGAAAATTGGCCTGGTAAATAAGGGGGTATAAGTGCCTGGTAGGCATGTGGTTAATAAACATATACATGAACAAAAAAAGCACTTAAAGATAAACTATAGAAGAGCTCTTAATAAGATCTATGATGTGCATCTGTTTGAAGCTGAATGAAACAGAAAAATATATAAAAAAAATAAGCAATCAAACTCTGCATTCTTCAAGACATGCTCAGGTACCTCTGAGGTTTACAGACAGTTCAAACTACAAAGTAACCACTTGAGCTTCGGAAGGTTTTACCCCCTTCATGACCAGGCATTTTTTTGCTATTCAGAACTGCACTTTTTTAACTGGTAACAGGTATTCCTTTTAAGGTTTGGACTGTCCACCTCACATTGTCAGCTAAAAGTTGTGCTAACTGTTCTCTCAGTAGAAGATTGTTCAGGTATCCCACAATGAGTATACCCTAGGGGCATAGCAAGGCTAGCATGGCGGCAAGTACCTTGGAAGATATACCAAATGGGTAGGCTACAAGTTATAGTTTTGAGAATCCACAGCAAAAGGAGGTAGCATTAATGGACAGGTGGGGACATGAAAATATACATCCTTGATGTCCACAGAGGCTAGAAAGTCTACCTGATAAAGGGAGGCTATAACAAACCTGATGGATTCTAATCAAAAATTTTGGACTCAAATATAGGCCTCTGCAAACAGGTATGGGTCTGTGCAACATTTGGGAGGTTTGAACAGTTTATAAGGAATTCTCCATTCTCCGTACAGATCACTCTCAAGTAAGGAGTATACCAGAAACATTTTGGCGGTCTTGGAACCTCTCAGGGATTCCAGGACTGGTAACAGCACTAGCAGACCCTATAAGTTGTTCTATTTTTAAGATGGTATCTTTAAGCCTGGGAGCTGTAGGAGCTGCCTGCAGGTCCTCCTAAACAAAATCATCCAAGGATTTGTGAGCCTCTTTGTCAGATAGAGACTCATCAGCAGAAGGTTTAAAGGCTGCTACAGCTGGAGGTATGTCAGCAAAGATTCTAAACGGGAAAGGCATAGAAAAATGCTTACAGCCTATGCATTGCAAGTCAGAAATCATAGTTGCAAGCTGACTCATAAAATCCAGGATTGGAACTCCTCCCTGCATATGGCAGAGGAAAGGGCCACAACCGATGGAGCTAAGGAAGACTCTGAAGAGCACAGGGAAGCAAGCATGGAACAATGATCCAGGTTAGCAATCTCTGGTCACTAAGGAGGGCAAATACAGGGTGCCTCAGAATTGTTAGCAGATTGTGAGTGCGTGGGACCAGATGCAGCACGACTGCTTCCCTTGCGCTTAGGATCTGACATGCAACATTGCTTAACAGTGGCAACTTAATTGAGAACATCAGACAAAAACCTTGGGTAGTAACAAAGTAGCTGCTGAAAACAGGAGAGGTTCAATTGACCACAGTTGACCAGGTCATTGCAGGCAGTATCAAGGAGTCCTGAAGTGAAACTAAGGGGGTTATTTACTAAAATTGAAGAGTGCAAAATCTGATGTAACTCTGCATGTAAACCAATCAGCTTCCAGATTTTACTGCCAAAGCTTAATTGAACAAGCTGAAGTTAGAAACTGATTGGCTACCATTCACACAGCACCAGATTCTGAGTGCACCAGTTTTAGTAAATCTACCCATAAGTGTTTTCTTGCAAATAGAAAAAATGATTTGAAGAAGCTGATTAATGCTGAAAAGGTGGGAACAGAGCATGGAGTGCGCATGCATGACACTCCAACTAGTAAAGCAGCACTTTTTTGCTGAGTGTATTAAGCCTTTGTCAGTGTATTAAGACTTTCCATGGGGATCAATGGAAAGCAGGTGTAAAAATGGCACCCAATGACTTTAATAAATGTAGTAGCTCCCAATACTTAGACATATGGCATAAACATTATGCCACTTCTCTGGACCTGGAAAGCACTCTGCCGCTAACAAAGTATACAAAAGTCTGGAAAGCACCACAAGAACAGCCCTGTGTCAAAGGTCACATTCCAAACACCACAATCTTTGATCCAGTGTAGTCCAGGTAAAGCTTCATTGCTGATGCTGAGGAAATGCCACATAGTTGTATAAAGAGCCAAGCTCAGGTGGCCACTGTTGTTTTGTTCAAATGCCACCTTTTTAAACTGGTTGCTACCTGCGTAACATATATGTGTGGTGGGAAAAAGGGTGGAGTTTAACGTCTACTCACTGCACATATATATCACTGGGCAACCAATGTGTCTGTGCTGAGAGTGCATTATTTTCATGTTCCCAGCACAGAGACTGAGCTGTCAAAGACAGCTCTTAGTCCCCACTAATGATTGGTAGCTGATCATGTGACCAATCATGATCAACGATCCTTCCCACCCATGTGGTTCAGAACCTTTTAAAGGGGCAGGTGGGAAGGGTTAATCATTGCAAGAGCTTGCATAACAGAGAGGAAAAAAGGATATGAAGAGTTGAATTCATGGCCCCATTTAGATATGTCCTAGGATGGTCCACAGTAAGAGACCTACAGTAGTTGCTGAGAGCGTGGTTCTCTGCTCATAGCATAACAGAAATACAGAACTGGATAGAGAGAAAAAAGCAACAACGATTCAACTCAAACCTATGAAAATATAGGCAGTGGCACCCAAACTTTACTAACATATCTTTACATTGGCTTTATTTGGATCTCCTTAACCCTGTGTAGGGATCTGCTGCCTCTATTGCCTGTATCTGTAAATGCCTGAACTGCTGATATATTTTGTATACACTTCTTGTCTCTGGGTGCTGGGCTGAAACCCCAGAAATGAGGAAGTGCAGAGACAGTGAAAGTCTGAGACCAAATGTACAATATATACATATATGTGTATATATATATATATATATATATATAATATATATATATACATACATACATACACACACACATATATGTATGTGTGTGTGTGTGTGTGTATATATATATATATATATATATATATATATACACACACACACACACACATACATATATATATCTATACACGCACACACACCAGCCACTTTATTAGGTACACCTTGCTAGTATCAGGTTGGACCCTTTTTACCTTCAGCACTGCCTTAATTCTTCGTGGCATAGATTCAACAAGGTGTTGGTAACATTTGGTCCATATGAGATACTGTTGCCTATCATCTCAAACCAGTCTGCTCATTCTCCTCTGACCTCTGACATCAGCAAGGCATTTTCATCCACACAACTGCTGCTCAAGGAATATTTTATCTTTTTTGGACCATTCTCTGTAAACCATAGAGATGGTTGTGCATGAAAATCCCAGTAGATCAGCAGTTTTTTTGAAATACTCAGACCAGCCATCTGGCACCGACAACCATGCCATGCTCAGTTTGAACTTCAGAAAGTCATCTTCACCACATTCAGATGCCTAAATGCATTGAGTTGCTCCCATGTGATTGGCTGATTATCAATTTGTGTTACCAAGCAATTGAACAGGTGTACCTAGTAAAGTAAAAGGTATTGCCAAAAGTATTGGGACACCTGCCTTTACAAACACATGAACTTTAAAGGCATCCCAATCTTAGTCCATAGGGTTCAATATTGAGTTGGCCCACCCTTTGCAGTTATATAACAGCTTCAACTCTTCTGGGAAGGCTGTCCACAAGGTTTAGGAGTGTGCCTATGGGAATGTTTGCTCATTCTTCCAGAAGTGCATTTGTGAGGTCAGGCGCTGATGAGGGACAACCTCACAAATGACCTCTAATTCATCCCAAAGGTGTTCTATCAAGTTGAGGTCAGGATTCTGTGCAGGCCTGTCAAGTTCCTCCACCCCAAAGGTCTTCATTGACCTTGCTTTGTGCACTGGTGTGCAGTAATGTTGGAACAGGAAGGGGCCAGCTCCAAACTGTTCCCACAAAGTTGGGAGCATGAAATTGTCCAAAATGTCTTGGTATGCTGACACCTCAAGAGTTCCCTTCATTGGAACTAAGGGGCCAAGCCAAACCTCTGAAAAACAACCCCACACCATAATCCTCCCTCCACCAAAATTACATTTGGAACCAGGGGAGGACTGACCATTTGGAAACTCGGGCAGTGCCCGGGGGCCCAGGGTCAGTAGGGGGCCCCATGAGATGCCCCTGGTACCTTTTTCATATGCTTTTTTGAGTTTTGGGCAAGGACACAGGGGCCCCATGATCCCCTATTGCCCAGGGGGCCCCATGAGTTGTCAGTCCGCCCGTGCTTGGAACAATGCAGTCAGGCAAGTACCGTTCTTCTCGCAACCACCAAGCCCAGGCACGTCCATCAGATTTCCAGACAGAAAAGTGTGATTCGTCACTCCAGTGAACACGTCTCCACTGCTCTAGAGTCCAGTGGCGGCATGCTTTATACCACTGCATCCAACGCTTTGCATTGCATTTGGTGATGGATGCAGCTGCTTGGCCATGGAAACCATTCCATGAAGTTCTCTACTCACTGTTGTGCTAATCTGAAGGCCACATGAAGTTTGGAGCTCTTAAGCTATTGACTCTGCAGACAGTTGGCAACTTCTGCGCACTTCAGCATGCACTGATCCTGCTCTGTTTTTTTACGTTGCCTACCACTTAGTGGCTGAGCTGCTGTTGTTCCCAGTTGCTTCCACTTTTGTTATAATACCACTAACAGTTGACCATGGAATATTTAGTAGTAAGGAAATTTCACGGATGGACTTATTGCACAGGTGGCAACCTATCATAGTACCACGCTTGAATTCACTGAGCCATTCTTTCACATATGTTTGTAGAAGCAGTCTGCATGCCTAGATGCTTGCATTTATACACCTTTGGCCATGGAGGTGATTGGAACACCTGAATTCAATGATTTGGAGGGGTGCCCAATAATTCTGGCAATAGAGTGTGTGTGTGTATATATATATATATATAATATATATATATATATATATATATATATATATATATATCAGGGAAGGAATGGTCCAGCTAGAAGGCTTGGTAGCAGCCACCAACCCACCAGCCGTACAGGAGAAGGACCGAATGAGCAAGCCTGTACCCCCTGGGCCAGATAGGGGAAGAAGCACTCTGGTGGGAAACCAGATTCACCACCTACTGGGGCTGTCTAATTTCTTAAAGTGACAGGCACCGCATCCCTTGCTCAGAGATACCTCCAGACAGCTGGGTACAGAAGAGGAATTTATCTAGGGTGGTACTACAGAAGGGGTTAAAATTTTGAGTCCAGACCTACTAGCCGGTCACAAAACTTACTCTCCACTAGTTGCCCCACCCAAACCTTGCCCATGGCCGCCCCCAACCCCACCCCCAACCCCACCCCCGACCCACCCCAAACCCCACCCCTGGCCTGCCCCAAACCACGCCCCCTTTAAAGCTTATGAAATTACATTTTGCTTTAGAATAAATAGTCCAAAATATAAAACTGTACACAGTAATGTATATCCCAGCTCCCCTGTACTCCATTATAGTGATATGACATGTTGTATACAGTTCTTACTGTCCCCCCGAGTCCCTCGCGGCGGTGGAGAGGGTGTCTCCTCTCAGTGGAGGAGAGCGGACCTCTCCTGCACCTGTCCCCTTGGCAGCGGTGCCGCAGAAACCGGAAACTGGAAGTTGTAAACCGGAACTCGGCTTCACAATGAGGCTTGGAGCGCAGGTGCAGTCGCTCCATGCTTCATCTGTGCTCACCGCTCGCAGCTGTTCGCCGCTCACCACAGAGAAATTTCTCCTCGCATTTGGAGAGCGGGCGAGCTCTCCAAAAGAGATTGTTTTGCAAAAGAGACTCATAAATGGTTCCAAAAAGTTGTATCCGGTTCATCGGTTCAGTTGGGCATCCCATATACCCCTTACACCATCCAAGTTGATATCCCCCTAATAAAACATCAAAAACAAACTCAAGGATTGATTAATGACTCCTGGATGCAAGTATGTGGAAAATGTGTGTTGCCTGGCTGTGCAGGAGTATAGGGGGACCCAAATCTAATGCAACTCCTAAGGGGGTAGTGCTACAGTATGTTATTAGGTTAGTAGGTGAAACTAACATAAGACTTTATATGCAGTGATTGTTGATTTCAGTTAACCCTGTCCCTTCCGGTTTTAGCTATCTAGCTAGTTTTAGCTTAGGGTTCAATATCCAGCACAGGCTAGAGTCTGATGGCCATGTCTGGTAGTTAGAAGTCCAGTTGCATGACTTAGGAGCAGTCTCAATTTTAGTTAACTTAATATGTATGCACTTCCTGTCTCTGGGTTGTTGATTTGAATATCCCAGAAAGAGGAAGTGGAAAGAGAGAGAGAAAGTCTAAGACCATGTGTCCTGTCCATGGATCTGCATAAGAAATGTTACAAAATCAAGAATATTTTGCTGTTTAAAAAAAAATGATGCTAAGCAGCCAACAATACAGACTAGGCCACTAATTCTCACAGAGCAAATATCTGCAATCCCAGACTGCCAGTCCAGGCCTAGATATAAACAATACATACAAACCGCCCTGGATTTCTGCAACACAGTTTAGACATAGCTTACTCTCAGACAAAAGTAACTTTTTCATTTCTTTAAAAAAATACTGAATATATACCAGATGCACTTTATATTAGACAAACTTTGCACATTGTACGTATAAAATACATGCAGATTGGTGATTTTATAGATAAAATTGTAGTAAAGTAGGGCGCCTAATCATACTGCACAAAATGCTTCCAAATCACATAGTAAAAGCATAAAGTGAAATGGAGCAATCTGGGTCAGAGCAATGCCTGCACTATTTCACCCACATCTTATCTTCTGACATGGAAATTTACTGGCAAAGTACATTATGCCCCTGGGGTAAGCATCCTTTTTAGAACACCAATCGAGTGATTTCTTTGATTTCATTCTAAGGAAAATGTATGTAGGTTCTTTGAGCACATCAAAAAAAGAAATCTTAAGAAGTACAGAAAAGCAGGCTTATCTTCTTGAAAAATGTCACTGAATTCTAAGGGGTCACTAGATTAGGTAGCAGACATTACAGTCGCAACAATATTCCCCAAAAATCAAAGGTCCTAAAACTGGTAGACTTGCCATTTAACACCAATATTTCTCTACTGAAGTGCAACTCTAGCCAAACATTTTCATGCTCTGTATTGGATAGAAATGGGAAAATAGAGCTTCAGCCAGAATCCTTTTTCTGCTTGTGTCTCCATTATGGAGATGTACTTTCTGATTAGACACTTGTAAATAAATGTAAACAGATGATTTCTTCAACAATGAAAAATAGATGCACAAATGGATGTAAACTGAAGTAAACTGTACTGAACAGAACTGCAAAGTGATGTAAGGCCCCATTCACACAGGTGTCATCAATTCAGTCATGTTTTTGCTAAAAAAAATTCAGGTTACATCAGTTTACATCAGGTGACAAAAGTAAAAGAAAAAAATAATTTTTTTGTGTAACTCCCTTCAAGTTAGCTAGATAGATTTTGTTTTTTTTCTTATTTTAGACAGAGGCTGAGTGACAGCCTGGGAGTGAGGCAGTGAGCTCACCTCAGGACAGGCTGGAAGGTTCCACAATTCAGGGCTTCTGGAGCCCTCCCACCTTTCCAGGGACCTTGGAAAATCCAATAGCAGGAGGCTGAGCATGGTGACCAGGGCAACTTTCAAATATGACAATTCCTGGGGAGAGAGGGGAGTCAGGTGAAAGATGGATTGAGAGGTTGTCTGGAGTGAGGAGCCTGAGAGAGGAGCCTACCTACAGGCTGGTTGTTGGACGGGAGTCTAAAGTCTCCTGGGGAGGACATTATGAGCAGCAGGGAAGGAGCCAGCCCAGAAAAAGGCCTGAAAGCAGCTATCAAATCACCACACTGACAGGACAGGACAGTGTGAGTACTCCTACACCACCTGGGTAAGATAAGGGAAGAGGGCGGTCAGGTGCAATACCCATCTAGTCTTCACCTGGGATTGCTTAACTTCATATTCTTGGGACCCCCTTCCTCAGGGATACCCTCAGCACAGTTGGGTGAAGAGGAGGATTCTTCCGGGGTCAGAGGAAGTACACTGAGAGCGGGACAATGCTTTATTTTGTCAGTCCACCCTTTTTGTATATAGTTGCTAAGAAGTTTGTCCTGGGGTTCTACAGTTCCTGGGACATCCTATATACCCCTAGACCACATTTAAGTTCTTAGCCCCTTAAAAAAAACAACAAGAAAACAAGCTCAAGAACTGTTTACTGACTCAGAGTACATGTGTAGAAAATGTGTGTTGCCTGGCTGCGCAGAGTTTAGGGGACCCCAATCAAATCCAGTGGTCCTTACAAGGATAGTGCTACACTTGCTTAAAAAGAGACATAAAGCGAACAGACGTAAATGGATGACATCCGTTTAAAGCCATTCACATCCGTCTAAATGGAAAAGGTAAACAGCCTTGGTGCGTTTTACAAAACAAACCTGAACTTGGACAGGGACGAAGGTGGATGTAAACAGATGATATCCATTTACATCCTATCCTAAAGCCCATAGGAAAGAATTGCTGTCTGTTTGAATGGGACCTAAACTGATATAGCCTAAATCAGTATTCATCAGGTTTTTCTTACTAAAAACTGTCCTGAACTAAATGCCAGTCTGGAAAGACTCTTACAGGGATACAGAGGTGTGTGTGTGTGTGTGTGTGTGTGTGTGTGTGTGGGGGGGGGGGGGGTTGGTAGTCCAAAAGAAGAGAACTGTGCAGGGCTAACAACACTGCTCAGGATTTCAGTGCAGTATAAGCAGCAGCATTGTCAACTCAGTACAGAAAGTACGAGCAGACTGGATTTCAGATAGATCAACTAGTATTTTACCATTATTTGCAGCATATTTAAATAGAATTTGTGAGAAATTGCAAAGATGTCATAAATATGTTTTTATTATGCCCAAGCATACACTTTAATGTTCCTAAGATATAAGTAGCCCCGAACAGCAATCCCCTTTAAGCCATTCAACCAAGACATCTTCATCTTAACAGACATATCATTTGATTGACATGCCAGGGGGGTGCTAGAGCATGATTGGTTCCATTGGTGATGGACTTGGGAGAGTGATGATTAGCAGCTTCTGTGGAGGAGTTGGGGTGTGCAGAATTCGGTAAAGGATACAACACAGGAGACAGAGTGATAGGTGTCAGAGAGAGAGGACCATGAGAGCCCTGAGATTGCTGCCTACATCCCTTTCTGCCCTCTGCAAAATAACTATGGACATTGCACAGATTCCCTGGCAATCTGTATTTGAGGAATAGACATAGCTGCAGCCAGAGACAGTGTGATCTGCAACTCCCATCTAGGATAGCCTGGAGCTCTTTTTTTAACTACCTTAATCCAGTCTGCAGGAGCAGAGCTCACAGGACAAACTGTTTTTAGGAAGACATTCATCAGACAGTGGAGTACCTTTGGCCACCCTCATGGGTATGGACTTTGCTTATACCTGTTTGGAACATTAGTTCTCATGGAAAATCTTTCTTAAAGGGGACCTCTGCATCCTTTCACTGTGGATAGTTGGGACACTTTGTGAAAAACCCTCTTATCTTTATGATACCTTCTTTTGAGGTTTGAGTGTTTTACCGGTAAATTTAAAGGATCCCATCGTTGGCAGGCTATGTAATAAATTTACCCATTAGCCAGTGGTTAGCTAGGCTCTATTTGACTGCAGTTAGGCCTCTGTAGTTAGCTGCATCCTACTTCATATTGGGGACATTGGTTGCACCGTTTGTTGATTATTATTGCCTGCAGTGTTGTGTTACACTCACCTAGAACAGTGGTTCTCAACCACTAGGCCATGCCCTGGTA